TAGATTAAACTCACCCTCCCGGGGTTACCAGCTCTGCCTCTCTGCGTCCGGGCTGCCTGTGGAAGAAACCTGCTGAAGTACTTGGAACCTCTTCTCTTCGTCTGCGTTTTTCTCCCCTTCTTTTCACAGGGGAAGGTGAAAAAAACAAAACTTCTGGTCTTCTTTTGACGCTGGCCTTCATAGTAAGCATTCTTTTTGTTTTTAGCGATGACTGTGGGGTGCCGGCTGTCTTCATTGTCCGACAATTCTCTTCTGCGCTCCTGACTGGCCACTGTAGCAAGAAATTCCAGGTGAGAAATATCCTCTTCTTCATCACGTCGCTCTTCAACATCTACAGATGGCCCAGGGATCTCTGAAATAATTTCAAGCATCCTGTAAAAAATTTGCTCTTTGAGGCGCTGTACCAGCTCTTCAAAAGCCCCAGACATGTTAATTAAAGCTAAAAACACCAGCCAACAATTTGATGTGGAGCTGGCCCCTTTAAGTTATCCTGTCAAAGTGAGCTGAGCTGAGAATTACCTCTACTATTTATATAAAACTAAACTGTTGCGTGCTATCCTAGAATGTTGCCCTCCAATCACACCCCTGCACTAAAACTGGCACGCGCTAGTTTAAAAACTGACTATTTTCCCGCTAAAACTAACTGAAAGCTACATGTCACGTGGGGGTAATGGCCGCACTATTAGAACTTTGATAGTGTTGGTATGTGACCAAGGGTTCCATTACATTGGAGAATGATATGAGACTATTATATTTGGTCCAGTATTAGTAAGCTCTGCATGCTAATCTCTGAGATATTTCAGCATAGGCGTGCGCACGGGGTGTGCCGGGTGTGCCTGGGCACACCCTAATCCCTGTGGCACGCCTATGGTTTGAGTCCTGCAGGAACAGCGTCCCTGCACTTTTTTTGAGCAGGAACGCTGTTCCTGCAGGCACTCAGTGCCCCCTGTTTCACCTCTTGCCCCTGTCATAGGGGGGGGGGCAAGAGGTGATGGATTCCCCACCCGTTCAGCGCGTGGCGAGGGAGCTCTCTGCTGTCTGCTCTCTGCTCCCTCTCGCCTCGCGCTGATGCCGGGAGCCGGAATATGACGTCATATTCCGGCTCCCAGCTCCAGCAGACAGCCCGCGCGGCGAGAGGGAGTAGAGAGCAGACAGCAGAGAGCTCCCTCGCGGCTCAGCTGGAGAAAGGCGCCTGCCCCCACTGGACCCCAGGGACAAGTCCACCAGCACTCCAGGTAGGAGGCTGGGTGGACATTTTTTTTTTAAATTAAAATATAATAATTTGTGTGTGTGTGTGTGTCAGTGTGTGTGAGTGTCTGTGAGTATGTGTGTGTGTCAGTGTGTGTGTGTGAGTGTCTGTGAGTGTGTGTCTGTGAGTATGTGTGTGTGTCAGTGTATGTGAGTATGTGTGTGTGTCAGTGTGTGTGTGTGTGTGTGTCTGTGAGTATGTATGTGTGTGTGTCTGTGAGTGTGTGTACGTGTATGTATATATATATATATATATATATATACACATATATATATACATATATATACATATATATATATATATATATATACATATATATACATATATACACACACACACACGCAGAGCCAGCGCTATCTGAGTGCCGGCTCTGCTCTAAGCCTTCATGGGCCGGCGGGGAGACCAAAGATCTACCTCACCGGCCCACAGCAGCATGGAGGGAGGCAGTAGAGGACCCAGGCTGCTCTAGACAGAAGCTCCGCCAGGTTCCTCTCGCCATATCTGAGCGTTGCTGCGGCAACGCTCAGATCTCGCGAGAGTTAACTCTAGCCCCGCAGGCTAGAGTTCACTCTCCACTGGACCACCAGAGATGGCACATGGCAGCAAGGATTTACTAATCTGCCCCCACCTCCACAATCCCTCCAAACATACAGCACCTACACACATACAGCTCACACACACACAGTACACTAACCGCACCCTCACAAACACACACAGCACCTTTAAAAAAAACACAACACCCTCACACACAGCACACTAACAGCACCCTCACAGGACAAACATACACACACAAACACCCTCACACACAAACAGCACAGTCACAAACACGCACCCTCACACACACATCACACTAACAGCACACAGCACACTAACAGCACACACAGCAGTGTGTGTGTGTGTGTGTATATATAGATAGATACATACACACACACACGCGCGTGGCGTGTGTTTGTGCTTTAGGGTGCACACCCTAATGCAATAGGCTGCGCACGCCTATGTGTGTCTGTGAGTATGTGTGTGTGTGTCTGTGTGTGTGTGTCTGTGAGTGTGTGTGTGTGTGTGTGTCTGTGAGTATGTGTGTGGGTGTGTCAGTGTGTGTGTCTGTGAGTGTGTGTCTGTGAGTATGTGTGTGTGTCAGTGTGTGTGTGTCTGAGTATGTGTGTGTGTCAGTGTGAGTGTGTGTGTGTCTGTGAGTATGTATGTATGTGTGTGTGTGTGTGTACGTATATATATATATACACACACACACGCAGAGCCGGCGCTATCTGAGTGCCGGCTCTGCTCTAAGCCTTCATGGGCCGGCGGGGAGACCAAAGATCTACCTCACCGGCCCACAGCAACATGGAGGGAGGCAGGAGAGGACCCAGGGAGCTCTAGACAGAAGCTCCGCCAGGTTGCGATATCTGCTGCGGCAACGCTCAGATCTCGCGAGAGTTAACTCTAGCCCAGCAGGCTAGAGTTCACTCTCCACTGGACCACCAGGGATGGCACATGGCAGCAAGGATTTACTAATCTGCCAAATCCCTCCAAACATACAGCACACACATACAGCACCTACACACATACAGCTCACACACACACAGTACACTAACCGCACCCTCACAAACACACACAGCACCTTTAAAAAAAACACAACACCCTCACACACAGCATACTAACAGCACCCTCACAAACACACACACACAAACAGCACCCTCACAAATACACGACACTCACACAAACAGCACCCTCACAGGACAAACATACACACACAAACACCCTCACACACAAACAGCACAGTCACAAACACACACACAAACACCCTCACATCACACTAACAGCACCCTCACACACACATCACACACAGCAGTGTATGTGTGTGTGTATATATGTCTATATATATATATATATATATATATATCTATATACATATATAGATACATACACACAAACATGCACAGCGTGTGTTTGTGGTTTAGGGTGCACACCCTAATGCAATAGGCTGCGCACGCCTATGTCTGTATGTGTTATGCTACTAGTAATCTAAAGTGTATGGAGCAAAGCAGTTGTCACCCGTCACTGGTTAGATGTTATCTCCCATCAAATGCCATCATTGTCTGTCATTTACACTATTGTATGTTGTGTTAGTCCTGTTAGCACAAATTCACCAAGCCTGAAAACTATTTTCCTGCTTCTCAACAAATTGGACTGGAATGATGTAGATGTTTGATTATTGTGACATATCTCTCCTAATTTACGAAGATAATTCCTGACTCAGGCTTTCTGGAATTCACCTGATGCAATATCTAAACTGTAAAATATTGGTTTCTTCAACAATCTACACAATCTGCAATAAAATACTGTAATAAACATGCACTTCAGGCACAACTTACACACTGAAACCATTACAGCATCCTAAATGAACATAACTTTATTTATTTTTCCCATGTATTATTTAATTTTGTTTTATTATAGTCGCAGTGGAATTAGATTGATGTTGATTCATATTGGAATAGGACAAAACGCCTGCATATTGTTCCAGCTGCAGAATCAATCATTCAGAAAGAAAATATATAACAATGGCACTATATGAGATTTTTTTTTTTTTTTACAAATTAAACCAGAAAAAAAATGTAACTATGGAGCTTAGATTCCTGTATGTTATCAGCGATTATTCATATTGGAGCCTATTCTACATGTTGGAAGGTGATGGAGTTAATGTAGTAGGAGGGGGAGTCACTGATCAAACTGATACCTGCTCTGTGGTTTGGTAATACCTGCTATGTGTCTTGATACCTGATGCTATGTGGTAGAAGCAGCAATTCATTAACATTCCCTTAGGGGATGGTGGAAATAGATTAATTCTCTTTCTTGTGGTTTTCACAGGAGGATATATATTTTTTTTTTCTGAGGCTATGATTAATATGTACAAGGAAAGGGGAAGTCAGTACATGGTCTACAGTGTGTGGCATCTAATACCATCCCTCTTAATTTGGAGAAAAAGCTTAACCCCTTCTTGTTTAAGTAAGATTTGTAAAAAAAAAAAATTATAATAATAATAATTTTAATTTAAAAAAAAAATAATAATAATAATACAGCCATCCTGTAAGTATTATTACAGCCTGATCTCTGGCCATAATTATTGCACAATAACCAAACATAATGAATCAGGGCCCTATAAATGTACTGTATATAACCCATGACCCCTTCCCTCCCCCTCCCATACATTCCACCCCCTTAATTAGTGTTTAATAAGATTACACATCTCAATGAAGCCCATTCAGGGTTGGTGCAATGTACACTTGAATTATTGCACTAAATGAAAATGTGCATAATTTACAAAATAAAAATACAGCCATTCCGACACTAGATTAGCTTTAACCCTCTTAATGCAAAACAAGCCTGTAAATTATTTTAATATTTATTTTTATTTATTTTTATTAAAGGCTAGACCCTAGTTATAGACCCATACAAGGTATAAGGTTGTTTTTGTGATGTAGACCCCCCTCCCTCCATAGATCTATAGCAGACAGGATGAATGAAGCAGTAAATGAGCTTGGCAGGGATGCCAGGCAGTGATACAGTGAGGGTGCCATGGTTTCTCACCTGCAGTGGGTGCCAAGGATGATGCCCAGTGTCCCCCAGGGTCTCAGGGTTACATGGTCACACTGCTGTCACTGTACCCCAGCTGCTTCAATGCCGCGGGCGCGCGCACTCAAGCCAGAGAACAACACATGCGCGCTCCCGCAACCTGCAGCCTATCAGACCGAGGATGCGATCAGCCCCGCCCACTTTCTCACCTTCATTCCCTCACAGCAGCATGATGCATACTGACATAGAAACACACTCACACTCTCTCTCTCCTCCACCTGTGGCTAATAGGACTCAGAGTCCCCCTGGATTGCTGACTGAGGATAATGGGAGTCAGAGTCCCCCTGGATTGCTGACTGAGGCTAATAGGACTCAGAGTCCCCCTGGATTGCTGACTGAGGATAATAGGAGTCAGAGTCCCCCTGGATTGCTGACTGAGGATAATAGGAGTCAGAGTCCCCCTGGCTTGCTGACTGAGGCTAATAGGACTCAGAGTCCCCCTGTATTGCTGACTGAGGCTAATTGGACTCAGTCACCCTGGATTGCTGACCCAGGCTCATAGGACGCAGAATCCTCCTGTATTGCTGACTGAGGCTCGTAGGGCTCAGAATCCCCCTGAATTGCTGACTGAGGCTCATAGGACTCAGAATCCCCCTGGATTGCTGACTGAGGCTAATAGGACTCAGAGTCCCCCTGGATTGCTGACTGAGGCTAGTAGGACTCAGGGTATGCATTGCTGACTGAGGCTAATTGGACTCAGTGTCACCCTGGTTTCCTGACTGAGGCAATTTGGACTCAGAATCCCCCTACTTATCTGTGTGAAGGCACTTCAGTGATCATGGCACAGAAACCCTAAAATATCCGATGCCCAAGAGAGCATATAGGTGTAGGCAAAAATGGTTCATCATTACTAGGGAGGTTGTCAGTAGTATTATCAGTGTAAGTGGAGTAATATGCAATATGTTTTGTGATTGCCTAATTGTTTTTTTTATTATTATTATTTTATAATATAGAAAGGTGTTAAGGATTTTTTATTTTTCTCAAAAAATAATGAATTTGATATATATTTCTCAAAGTCTTGTTGAGCAAACTGGCTTCACAGTATATAATATTATATAATTTCTCAGCTCTTTGTTTAACCAAAAAGGTATAGAAATTGTGTCGGAAAGAAAACAATGTTACAGATTTCATAAAATGTAAATATAATTTAAGTTGGGTACCTTGCGGGTGTGGGAGTCACGATTGTGCAGCTCTCACATAACATGCTGGTACAGCGCAGCTTGCTCTTGACATCTGTGAGAGCTGCAAAAATGCACCTTCGTCTGTGTAGGCAAAAATCTTTAACACTCACCCTGACAACGGCAATGTACGTATATGTGTAGAGAGGGACAGAGATATGTAAAATGAGAGCACTCCCAGAGCACTTGGTTGCTGTTTATTAAAAGATATGGAATATAAAAATGACTGTCAGTGTTTCATTTCACCTGGGATTTCTTGCAATTCCCAGGTGGTTTCAGATCTCTGAATAAACAGCAACTGAGTATGTATGCTATAAGTGCTTTCAGTTTCGCATTACTTTATATTGGCCTGAGATAGATAGATAGACAGACAGACAGACAGATCGATATATTAAAATAGGGCTTAAAATTTCAAGTATTATACTACTAGCTAGGCCGTACAAAATATTTGCCACTGTAACCCTACTGTTTCTATATCATTTCAAAACAGTTTCACTTCTAAACAAGAAAAAAAAAAAACACAAAAAAAAATTCTATACACTAGCTGCAAAATCAAATGTTCACCTTAAGGAACACTATAGTCACCAGAACAACTACAGCTTAATGCTGGTCTATAGCACGTCCCTGCAGGATTTTTTTCTGAAAATGCAGTGTTTCCATTACTGCCTGGTAACAACTCTAGTGACAGTGACTCCCACTAGATGTGACAGTGACGGCCACTAGATGTGTTTCCTGTGTCAGTGCTGCACACCTTGCAGCACTGGCGTTCTGCGTCTCCACGCTTAACGTTCCCAATAGAGATGCATCGATACAATGCATCTCTATGAGGAGATGCTGATTGGCACAGCGTGGCATTTTGCCGCCCATGCGCAATAGACTCCCAATGCTTTCCTACATGAGGTTAGCGTTTCTTTAAGTTACCAACTTTTGATAGAGATTGTATGGATTTCATGGCAATTTGGACAGCAGCCTTAGAGCATTTTTCGTGCCATAAAATGGATATCATTAGAAATAGAAATAAAAAAATACTTTGAATATACCCTAAATAAAGAAATAGGGGAAGTCCAGGATAGATTATCCCTAGTTTTTGAAGTGTCAGATTTTTCAGACCTCACCAACAAAGCTAAGGCTCAGATTAAAAAGTAAAAAAAAAATATTGGAGGGATATTAGTGATCATGCCCAGAACATGGACTTTTCCAAACAGAAGAAACCAGCTGCCAACATTGGATGGGAAAATAATATTAATAAGAGGAAGAGTATAAAGTACCTCAGACCCAGAAAACCCTGAGAGAAAAATGGGATAGACTGTGGCATAGAAGGAATTTGAGAATCAGCAGAAAGTGCCATTTAGAAAATATAATAAGATCAGTAGAACACCAGAGCAAAGCCTGAGGCCTGGGGGAGGCGGTCGATCTCCCGGCGCAGGACGAGAGCAAAAGCAAGTGTCTACCACAGCCCTGCTACCCCCCCCTCTGGACCGGCGGGGGACATCCCGGTCCTCGCTGGGGACGATTAACCCCACATCACCGCCTAACCAAGCGATTAAACCACAAGTCAAACGAGACAAACTGAGCCCAGCCAAGATGGCGGCTCAGAAGCAACCTATTACCAAGCGAACACCCATTACGCCACCTAAGCACACAATGGAGTTTGTGACCCGGCTAAGCTCCTATCTCTGGGCAAAGTTCAAAACCCAGAGTCAAACCTACAAGCTAGCGATGAGAGAAGTAAAGGCGTGGATACGCCCAGCAACCCGGCGCCATCTGCAGGGTAACCCACCTTTTAACTCACGAGCAGCCTTTGGACGGAAGAAACACCGAAGCTCAGCACGGCGGGAAACGGCACCGGGGCCCTCAGACAGCAGCGCTCACGACCCCAAGCCTCAAAGTAAGACCCGCCGATCCACCCGTCCAACCTTCCACCCAGCGGCACAAACAACTCTAAACCAGCACAGAGGAAACCCTCACGACACTGACCAGTCTCACGGCCTACACTCCTGGGACGCAAGGGATCAGCACCCAGCAGCAACACCGGCAGACCCGATGGCACCGGCCCCACGCAGGGGCATCGGCTGAATGAGCTCTCTTGGACAATCCAAACAACCCCAAGTATAGCATACAAGGACACAACGCCCATACCTCATCCATGCCGAACTGTGAAGCTGCCGTAATATGCTGAGACTTGGGTGAATGCTAGCTGACATTATACCATCAGACCCAGTGGTTTCAGTATACCTTGCAATCTTACCAAGTCCCTGCGGACTACCTCTTTCTTACCTAAAGAGAACTGAGTACCCGAGGTTTTTCATACTACTAACCATATATAGAGCGCATTTAAACTATGTTTATATCTAGTTTGTATTTACTTTTGCTCATCACTCCCACCAATAACAAGACAGGAGGTAACCCTTTGACAAACGACACTAACCCATAATCTGTGTGCCCGTTAGTCTTCTTTTGCAAAATCCAGCCTATAACCTATGGCGCACGCTAATATTGTATACCCCTGAGTGGTACTTACTGTCAGTTAATCGGTCAAATAAGCTGGTTAATATTCTTGAAACGAGCAAATAATGCTAATAAATAACGTGTGAGAATTTTGCATTACGCGTAGCTTGTTCATAACTAAACTGTGGACCTAATCTCCTGCTACTTCATGTTATTTCATGTTTGTATATATTACTTGCTCAGTTGACGACAATATGCCGTCGGTTTAATGCCATACGTACGAGCACCCGAGATAATACTCTGAGCCAGTTAGGTAAAGTTAAAACGGCTCTAATTGCTATTGTACAGGTTAGAATCATAGCTTGTAGTATGAATAAAGCACTGTGACCCACCTCAATAGACAGGCTTTGCTAGCCAACACACAAAATGTTTATAAACCTAAATGTGTTACTAACCTGTGTTTTTCTATCCTTTAAAAAATTTGTGCGGTTAAGTTATGCCATGACTATGTATGCCAATGAAACGCCTGTAAACGCTGTTGTGGTGCTACAGGTATCTCTGTTGTAAAATCTAATGCACAAGAAAAATAAAGAATTACAAAATAAGATCAGTAGAGCATGATGTGGGAATTCAATGTAAAGCGAGAGAGAAACAAAGGACAAAAGGAAATCCTAATAAATCCTAATTGACAGTCTCAGCCAATCCTATGGGAAAGCATTATGATTGGCTCAGAGAATCACTTCTTATGATGTCAGCCATCAGGCAGATCAGTGGCAGAGGCAGCAGCAGTAGACTTGAATACAAGTAAGATTTTACTATATTTAGGGAGGCAAGGAGGGGCCAGTGGTGATAGATGGTGGTTTTAACACTACAGGGTAAGGAATAAATGTTTGTGTAAACAAAAACCGTGTACGGGTGGGTGGTGAAATAATATCAAACTAGTGTAGGCAAGCCACTGTCATAAGGTCACTCCAAAACCTCTATATAAACAACCACAGAATCCTGATTAATAAATCAGAAAAAACAGGGCGCCACAATCACAAAGTTAAATTCAATCTGGAGATTCCTATGGATAGGAGGGACAAATAGATGTAAGAAAAATATCCACTTTATTAGTAATAAATCCAGGTAAAATAAGCAATAGCACACACAAAAGCTGTATGTACTTCATCACGTATGGCAGTGCGATCGATGGGTCTGCGCATGCGCGGGTTATGAATGGCACCTAGATCGGCGGATTTAAAAGGAGAAGATGCCAAGGGGAACACAGAAGCTCCTGAAGAAGTCTAAGTGACGAAACGCGTTGAGCAGCTACGAGAGCCCTGTATTGGTGGTCAGGGCCGCCATCAGGGGGTGACAACCGTGACTGTTGTCACGGGCCCGGCGGCCCTGGGGGGCCCGGACTGCTCTGGCAGTCCTGGGCCCCACTTTCCCTTTCTGCACACATAGATAGCGAATATCACTATCTATGTGTGCAGCCGCGGGCCCCCTGCTCCCTGTTACCGCAGAGGGGGCCCAGCCAGGCAGCACACAGCTTCTCCTCCCGTCTTCTCTCTTCTCATAACTCTCGCGAGACCCGCGGAGCGTTGCCATGGTAACCGGGTCTCGCGAGAGTTATGAGAAGAGAGGAGAAGCTGTGTGCTGCCTGGGCCCCCTCTGCGGTAACAGGGAGCCGGGGGGCCCCCCACCGGACCACCAGGGATGGAATCTCCCCCCTCCATGGACACAGGTAAGCAGGGAGGGGGGAGAAACATTTAATTAAATTAATTAAAAATTAATGTTAAAATGCCCCTTCCTCCCCCTCACCCCAGATCACACACTAACAACACACACTGCATACAATAACACACACATACACTGCATACACTAACAACAC